ATTTGGGTTGAACTTTAAGATTAGGCCAACAGATGGAGCCGGTAATTGCGCAGCAATGCGCATTACTTAATTTGCCTTTATCCACTAAAATACGCTTCGGAATTTCTTTGACTTAAAATATGACGCCAAATTTTTCGAACAAATCACTCCACGTTTGGTAAACCAGGCGAAGTAGATAGTTGCCTCTAACTATTGCAAAACGCCTAGTCTGTATATAAATCCTTCTGCTTTCGATACAGAGAAACTCCAGCGACCCCACATATCCCAGGAGGTATTATTTCGATCACGTAACAGGTAAATGCCGAGCGTTCCACTTTACCGGAATTTTGGCCCATGGAAACAATTTTCCCACTATGGAGGCTTGCATTGCCACCTGTTTATATGTCCCTGACATCGAGGTTATCGACATGGATGCACCCACAACGAACGTTCTGCCAAAAGTTGCTCAGGATTCAGGATTTGGTGCCGACAATTTAAAGACCTCTTCTGTAAGGAATGTGGTGATTTCGTCAACCGATATCAAGACGTCTGATATTTTCGTAACAGGTACGTCGTTACTTGACGATACAAACCTTCACTATTTTATGTGTGACTCTTAATCACAATTTGATGCTCGCATTCAGAACGCACTTATGTGTAGCGTTTCCTCCAGTAGCTGGACATGCGACAAGGACTTCACTGAGCTGGGTCAGCTAGAACGCATGGCACTCAGAATGGCACGAGTTTGGACAGAACAAAAAAATAACAAAACCAATGCTGGCCAGCTGCAATAGAACTCAGCAAAATAATGAAATAGAAAAAGTACCATTTTGAGTTGGTCAAGCTAAGCTAAATATGAGCGAAGTAGTCGATATTTTGTTAAAAAAAATGGGCAAAATAAGAGTTAGGTTTTTGACGGTAGGTTGCGTTATAGACATCATGCGGAAGTGGCACGAAACGTTTCTCATGCTATGATCGCCTAATGCTTTTGAAACGAAAGCTGTCATTGAAAGACTCGGTTTGTCAGTACATTTTTTCAAGTCCTTTACGTTGATATCCCCTATGATCATTGAATCTACGATCCAATGATACTATAGGACTTACCTTGCTCCAAACTAGTTACACAAACACTATTTGGAGCCAGAAGTTCAGTTTTTTAGGTTGTTTCTTCATGGAGGAAAATGGCGATGGCGGCAACCTTCAGAGCTAAACTTCGCTTCATAAAATTTCTGATCACCACTGATGAAAAAGAGATCAATTGTAATGGCTAGCAGTTTTAAAGTTTGCGGATTCCTGTGAAAGGCGTTCCTCGTTGGTGCTCACTCATCAGTCTCTGTCACATCTATCGCAAGGACACTGTCCCCAGTACTTTACTAGCATGAACATCGCATTATTTCGAATCGATGTTAAATAAGCTACTTGATTTGATCGCTGGAGCGACCAGCTGAGCGTTAGCGTATATGTATCCTCTTAGCAACAATATAAACTATTAGTGTTCTCTTTTGTTAACAACAAAACCACTTGGTAAATCAGAAGGCGAGAAAGAGATACTAATAAAACCTGTTTTGAGGTCGTGAGGTTACAACAACTACGTGCACCTTAATCAAATACAATACAATACCAAAAATAGAGAGTTTCAAACGAAGTACTTATCGTTCTGAGTGTGAATTGTAGTAGATCCACCGAGTTCGTTTGGGTGCAGGTAGCCGTGTTTCTTTTGGCAGATTTCCTGCTACACGATCCTCGTTGTCCGCAGTTTTTGGTGCTTGAGCCGGTCTGTGTTCCGACGCGCGAGTGATGTGCGTGTGTATTTGATTGTGTTCTGTCCTTACATATAGGTCGTTGCAATGAATGGAACATGAAAACAATGTGAAACCACCTGGTGTCGTTCAAAAGGTCATGGAACGGGATTTGACATATTGTCGTACTCATGTCATGATTTTGACGAGTGACTGAGACAGACGAAATGGAAGGGGGGTAGTAGGTGCCGGTGGGAAATTGATTAGAGGAGTAATTAAGCAGAAAGGTAAGCGTTACAAAACCACCCGTTTGGGTGATTGCAAAAGGCCTCAGTCAAGTTAGCCGATCCAAACACCGAAAAAACCCCGATTTTCGTTGGAACAACTCACTAACTAGTTTTGAATGTTTAAATCCCGAAAAGTTCAAGTACAACAAGACGAGCGGTTAGCCAACCGTAATTTCGACTTGATGACGTTTGGATTCCAAATTCTTTTCAGACGTTTTTAGCTATAACAAAGTAACATAGAAAATATACTCCTGGTCTTAGTGCTAACCTATTTTTCCAGTCGTTGAAACAGGGTGAATTTTGTTGTTGACTGTATCACCATTTATTACCCACCCATGAAATAAACCGTTCTTTTCACTGTTTCAAGAAACTCCATTCATTCCATATTCGTACCGTCTGTGTAGAACACAAGTCACTTTGCATAATGAGCATAACTGATATGGGAGCAAAAAATCTAGTGGAGCAAACAATCTGCGAACCCGAGGATATTATTCATGAACTGGGACACAGATTCCGACCAGTTCGCACAAATAGTGAACGTGGGGATGAGGTTGACGGTTACTGCGAACAGACCCTTGTTCCTATCTGCCTGACTGAGCCAAGGCGTGTGTTTGGGACTATCATGGATCCGCTGATGCACACGATCGGACGTGTGTTTCGGACGCAAGCTGAATGCGAAGGGATATGTCTCAACCGCCGACGGGTCCGAAGAAGTGCTACCCACTTGGAGGATCTGGTGGAAGGCAAAGAAGAACTGGAGAAAATTGTGGACGGTTTATTAAAGGAGAGCGGGTACGATTCAGGTAAGATATGTGCAGAGTCCCTTTCCGGATAATTAGCCTATACCATTTTGACATGAATCCGCACGGAACTATCAACTTCCTTGTGATGTTTACGCACTGAAAAGCTGTTTTAATCTAGGAGTTCAAAGTAATAATAAAAGCCAAACAGAGCTATCAATTCATGACAAGCAGGCACAAGAAACCAATCAGAAATGCTAAAATGAACGCGACGTCTTGATTATGGGCTCCGAAGCACTAGAGTTTAAGCTACTTGTAGACAAAAACTGCCGAAACTGCTGAAACAGTTGAGATATTTTCAGGGCGCGCCTAGACAAGAAAAAGCACATGTGCAGAGAGTGACGCATCCCCAATGTCACCATCGGTTCAACACGTCCTGAAAATAGGTGAGTTGGCGGCTCTCACCAAACGGCTTAGCAACACACGACCAGCGTATTGGGCCTGAGGCTGTTCACGACCGGAACACCACCATTGGCTGTACGGAACGAACAAGTGAACGACCATATTTGGCCAATTAGTCATCCTATATATTTACGCAGACGCTCTGTATGTTTTGTCCTGGCAATACAGCCGTGTCCCCAGTTCTCTGTCTTCTCCGTATCGCGTAGTCTTGCAGGCTCAGTGCAAGCGTAACCCATAGACGGCCACCCAGTCACCGCAAGATACAACAGATATGCATCATACAGACCCGTGTTTAAACCAATGAAGAAACACCGCACAGTGGTTCCATCCCTGAATAAACCACTAGCAGCCTGCATCCTGCATATCTTGATCAAGACTACAACTAGAATCCCTTGTGAATACAAGCTATGCGTTTCGCTGATAATCCACGAATAGTAGATTAACAGTGTAGGAGGATCTATATTGAAAATAACATCTCCGATGGTTTTAGTACGGGGCCTATTGACTATTAGGCACCTCAGGTAACAGTTGGAACTAATCACTTGCAATCACTCAGAGATCGGAAAAAAACTGAAAGCAGTCTCACAAGCTTCCTCCACTTGTCAACTGTGTCTTTGCTTTGGCGCATTAGATGACGTGCTCATTTGCTGGATGCATTGAGATAATGTGAGCCACTGTACACTCCCTACACTGGATTCTAACTTTGTACATGAATCAATATTCCACCATGGCATAGGAGTAAGCAGGGCTGGTTGGGAATGGCACCACCCTGATCGGACGAAAGCTGATAAGAGGAAGTAGCTATGGCTTACAAAGTTAGTTTTTAACATTATTCCGAAGGCATCGTTTCGAATTGTGATCAATCTTCGTGCATGACAGTAGCGGACTACTATTTACGTTTTGAACGAGATCAATTCATCACAGAGCTGCGCAAACTTTGCCTCGGGTTTTACTTAGCCACAACTGGTGCCATGAAGTTATCAAAGCCAGGTGTATTCATCTGTAATTCGTATTGTCATTTACATGTCAGTTGTCCGTCAACCGAGGGGGTTATTATCCTGCAGGAGATTCACCCAACTCGCTGAATTTAACGCTATTACAATGAACTCTGACACCGCTGTGAACCACCTGGTGCGTGTGTTGCTCGTCGCAGACAAATGCAACCGATTCATGATGTTCTGGGATATTCGGAATGGGCCGAAAGACAGCCGGTACCGGACTGGATCATTGTGTAGCTGATTATAGGTTTGATAGGCTTGAGAGACGCCGGATGTCCAATCTACTGGGACAGTTACAGTATCGGTCAGTGCGTCTATGGAGATCACTGCTGCAGTACCAGGAATCAACAGTTTAAGAAAACCGATAGGAAGAAATCGGAACAAGACGGCAAAATAAAGTGGATTACATCATAGTCTAATCAGTTCCGGAAAATGAAAATTGCTTGTTACAATATGGCATGAAACACTACTCATAAGGTCGCTGAAAACCCTTCGACAGTCCACGTCCATATGAGTACCGTGTCACGCCTGTATTGCAGTACTGGCTTATCGCACCTCGAAACGTGAAGTGATCTGTCGAAGCACATTCAGCTGAAGAAAACCGTAAACGAGAGAGTCAGTTGGGATTTAGCTGGGTCTTTCGTAAAACAACAAACTGGCGGGCAAATGAGTGCATTTCGCCAACTGACTATGCTTGCTTAATGCGGACAGCCTTGACTACGCTGCGCACGTGGTGAGCTCTACAACAGTAGACAACACAAATCACTTTGGTTATTTAGTCCAGGGACGAGACTTTCGGAATCACATTGGCCAGCGATAACACGACATTGGGTTTAGTTGAGCAAACTCTGAGAAACTTCAGAAAAGGCTGGATTCTCACTAGAGCTCCATATCAGTAGCATAGTTATTACCTGCTCAGGTTTGTCAGCAAAAGTACACAGGAAATCGCATAAAAGCGGTGAATGTGCTTTTACATCTTCTATAGAGGAAAATGTCAGTAGCTCAGGTAGCGTAGATTGTCGTTGGCTTGTTCGCTGAGCTGGCCAATTTGATTGCAAACGTTTCATCACCAATCGAGGTGACATCATCAGTGCGTTATTGGGGAGCGTAGTAGTGCGTAGCGGTGGGGCACAACTATTAACCCACCGCTACGCACCACTACGTCCCCCAATAACGCACTGATTATGTCACCTCGATTGGTGATGGAACGTTTGCAATCAAAGTGCTTTTACATATCCAGGAAGCTGAAAGTATATAGTGAGAACCACATAGGTGATACCCAAGCGCCATAAGACCCTCAAGAGTTTGCCCTCATGAGATGTGTTGAACGATACATACTGGCCATTTTGGCTCACTCCTCATTTTGAGATTGTGTTGCAAGATGAAAAACGTTATCATTTTTATCTTATGCACACTTCGTACTCAGTGGTTCACTTTAGTCTTCAAGCTCTGAAATCTTGTCTAATTATCTCTCCACTTGCCTTTCAGACAGCACATCTCAGCAGACTGTTCGAAACGGATGTTCACCTGAAAAATCAATGGCAGAACAAGTCGATCAGTAAGTGCACCGAACCCACGCCATTCCTTCTTCAATTCGGTCTGGCTGACTTCCTGCGTGCAGAAAACGAACATGCGCATAAGCAAAGTGTACAGTACTGGTACATCCCCCAAAATAGCTTATTATTAATTGCACTTAGATGTCCTTTGTTGCTTCGATCGGACGGCGAACCGAACAATCAGGTTGACAGGGCCCTGGGACAACTACAGTCACAAAGTATTCTGGACTGAACAGCAAATGACACGTTTTTCCTATAAATTTTGTCACCCAGTGCGTTTAAAGAACGCAAGAAAACGATTGTCCTGTATTGGGACCATTTTAGTTCATCAGCTTTATAAAAGAGTTAGAAGGCAAATATTTTAACGGATATGGTTTACAGGCAGTTTATTATTACATTTCAAGGATAGATAGGCAAGCTATTCCCTAGACTGAACATGAACGATAGCTAGCGAGAGTTAATTCTGAGTAATTTTCATCTGTATTAGTGTATTTAATTTTATTTCATTGAAGTGAATTGGTCGTATCTGATAACCTGCTTCAAAATAACGTCAAAATGAACCCTGTGTTAAAGATGGTGTGTACTAATAGGAGCGAGGATACCTACTGTTCAAATTATATCAGAAAACACGTAGGTAAGGTCACGGATGTATCGTGTACAGACGGCCAAACAGATCCGCCTTGTTACTGATAGGCAAACAACTGAGTCATCACACCTCGCTGATGATCGATGGCAGACACGCACTCGTACAAACCACCGGTACGCATCCAATCAGCCACTAGAGTCACATGCCAAACCGGCGGTGTATGCCGAACGGACAGCCGCACGCGCGAACCCTCTGACACATGAAAACGACTACTACTGCTCCTAACCGCTGGATCTAGTCTACTCAAGCCTTAAGTCAATTGCTGATTGGCTTAGGCACCTTTACGAATCTGCAGCTTGCTTGCTTCAATCCGGAGTCCATCTGTGCTGTCGGCTAAGTCAATTCTGATTGGCTTAGGCACCTTTACGAATCTGCAGCTTGCTTGCTTCAATCCGGAGTCCATCTGTGCTGTCGGCTCAGGTGTTTGTTCCGCACATAAACGATGCTTCCTAGTTCTGATATGGTTTAAATGACGGCGCATTATCTTCTTGAATTCCAACATGTCGATGAGTCTACGGTTTGTCGACGTCACACATCCACGCACCATCTGACGGCTGACGTTTGACGTAAACCAGGTCGCCACTTCGTGCAAGGTTGGGCGTGTTTATCAGCGCTTTGCTTCAAGGAGGACTGCCGTTGTTCGCCCTAAACCGCCAAGTCCGGCCATAGTAGATCCAGACTTGTTCGAAGTCTTTGTCCCATTAGCAACTCACATGGCGCCTGGCCTGTAGTAATATGCGACGTAGGTCCGGACTGCAGTAAAAGCATGTTTAGTCTTGTTTGTAAAGGACCTGGGTTTTGTTTCATCAATCCATAATTCACCGTTGCCACCGTGCGTCCAGCCAGGCTGTTAATAGCGGGTTAAAACATGTTCTATCCCGTCGGTTTTCAAAAACAGTTGAAATTCCACACTGATGAATACCGTGACGTTATCGGAAGCACTCGTCCCAGGTACATCGTGAGATGCAAAAGTGTTGCGAACTGTGGATGTAATCGACGTAGTTCGGGCGGGCACCGCTACTGTCCACCTAAAACGGGTCGACAATCACAAGCATCATATAACCATCAACAGGCTACAACAGGGCCACACTACGTGCATGCGTCTCCGCGGTCGTAACGGCCACTTTCATGGTGATATGGGCGTTGCAGTAGGCAAAACCCTATTTTTCTGAAATGCATTACAATTTTACACCATCATTTCCACATTATGATTGGTACCAGGCCACCAGATATCCAGGCGGCTACTACTATATCGCATACATTTGCGGTATGTTCATCAGTGGGAGTTTCAAAAACCTACCCTATTTTCCTCCGCGGGACACGCTGCACTGATTGGTGCTTTGTCCATAGACCGTCATACTTTGCACACGCATATGTTTGAGGGATAAACGCCAAAATACAAACCTTTCTCAGGCCTTAACTGCCGAACTGTTTCACAAAGCGGCTTGGATATCTGGAAGGAATTAACCAGAGACAATGTTCCACATTAAATGAGTTGGTAAATACTCATGTTTTAAAAACATTGTGTCCTGACAAGAGTAGTTGCCGTTATGTGAAAGAACTAAAGCCAAACCTCTAAGACCGCACGACGTGCTAGTTTAAGGTGGAACGTAGAAGCTAGCTGAAATCAAGCGATGTCCCTAATATCCACTATACTGCTCCCTATCTGTCCAAGACCAAATGTAAAATGATGGAAGAGATATTATTCTATTTTTGTCACAGTGTGAACTAGGCTGCGTTACAGTACTTCACCTAGATTCACTATGTGTCTGAGCTTAATATGACTGGCAAGGGTCGTGGGCCGCTAGCTTGATTGACACGCTATACCCTTCAAATTTTGGTTTTTCGTACCGAATTTGGCAAGCGCATTCTCTCGGTTACGCATACTACCGGCTTTAGAACAGCATTCTATTCCGTCTTGGATCATTCTACCTGAACAGAGTAAACTGCGATTCGTCTGTTAGGTGCATAGTATGTGCTGTTTACTGAATTTCAAGGGATGCAACTCATTTGGTGCAGTAGGTCTCTCTCGAAACGGATTTAAACTTGCTTTGCGTTATAACATCAGCCTTTTTCCTAGAACATCTGATTATCCGTATTTTTCCGGACCCACTGATCTCGAGCGCGATCAGTTTTGCGTAATCTTATGTTCATGTTACCCTGATTGCCCTGAAGTTAGGCTTTAAAATAGATGGATTCCTTGGAAACTGGTACTACTCCAACAGAGTGAAAAACATGGTTAGCTGGCCAACAGACAGATGTTCCAATGTAGATTGTTGGAAAAGTAACTGACATACCTGTTGTAACAACCAGCCCAGTTCGGAAAATTTTGTAATGGAAATTCTGAGCATTTTCACTAAACTGGCAGATGCCCTGGTATTCATTAAACACCATAAAATAGATTTGTTACAGCAAACGTTCAAGCTCTCTTGTGCAACCCAGGCAACCGGTTGACATTTCATATTCTATTCCATACGCTAAATAGCGGTGCACCGAAGTATAACCGATTAGATTGGGGTAAGTTTGCGGAGGACCCGAAGTGATCAGCTTAGTGATGACATCCTGAGTATAACCACGTGGATCTGGCCACTTCACCCACGGATTGACCAGACGCAAGCAAATATTCACCGCCAGGTTTGGCAGTTGCCAAACTATGTCAAAGGAACGGACTAGTTTCCTGAGGTACTTAGTAAAAGATGTCCACGTTTTCCGCCCTTTCATCGGCACTCACTTATACAAACTTATACAAACAACTTGGTTCAAAATACCGCGATCAACCTTAAATACCTTTGTTATATGAATCTAAAGGATAGTGCGAATGGGGATTTCACATCCCCGGCTCTTTGGTTATGTAAATGTTTGGGAGCGACGGAGAAGTCACCGTTTCAGATAGTGGAAATCGCGAATAATTCCAGTGTAGATGTAATGAAGGACGTAAAACTGACAAGCGTGTATGTGTGTGTGGGGGGGGGGGGGGGGGTCGGCCAAAAAAACCCGAGGCTGTAAGCGGTTATCATCGATCATCGATCATCATCATCATCGTCATCAGCATCATCATCATCATCATCATTCGTCATCAGCATCATCATCATTCATCATCATATCATTATCAGGGACAGCAACATCAGCATTGATACTGATGCTTCACTGTGTGATGCTATATCTCCCTTGTTCTGTTTATCGTCTCTTTTGTCGTCATGAGAAACGTAGATAACCCTGTCCCACACATATCTGGAACCACGAGCAAATAATAGGATGGAACTGACCTTATCGAAGTTGTCTTTGCAGCGCAGCTTTACGTTTCCTTCAATGGTAGTGATCTCTCCAATTCCCGTCGGCAAGAAAAAAAAAGCAAAGCTTTAATGACGCCCTACTTATCACATTAACTCGTTTGACAGGATGAACTGAGTTTTGGTATGTCCAGTTGATTGCTTTATTCGTAGCATATTGTTTCATTTGTGAACATTCATCGACAGTTGAAGGCCACATTAGAGTCTGCTTCAACAAATAGCATTTTAGGCATCTTTTAAACACTGACTGCCCAAAGATGTAGATGATGTAGACAGAAATTTACAATCCCATTTCTTATGCTTTAAACATGTAGTTTTTGTTAGGGTTAGTAAATATTAACGAGACCATTTTGCGCAACGTATCGATTACTCTCGCGACACTTCCGTTTCTCACCATATATTTTCATATCATCAGTAATGGTAAACACTAGGGGGGCTATGATCGGATTTTACGGCGGCTGTCTAAATAACCAGCCACAATAATAACTGTCTCCAGGGTTCAACAGATTCTCCAGAACATTTGCCTTCCGGCGACCATCAGACACTCATACATTTTATAGGACTGGACCACGTAGGGGTTAATAAGTAATATATACGACATGCCGTCGTGTAAAAGTACTACAATAATCAATATAAGGTGACAGTTTCGTCATTTACTTGTAGGTTGTCTGTGCTAAGTATCTACATCTGTTTAACAGCAGAGCAGATTCAAGGAAGAATGAATGAGCACCTTACGACGTTTAGGAAGTACATTGAACTGCTCACTAGGCTTCACTTCTTACCAATATTCTATCCGTGGATTCAGATTCGGCTTACCACTTTAGCCGATATAATGAGACTTCATAATTTTTTCTGCAGTCTCGCTTTATCAGCGGCCATTCACCCCAGCAGCCTTTCAGATCCAAACAACATCAGCTGAGTTGAATCACTTTGATTCCACCGTCTACATCAGACCAACAGCTGCTCCAAAATGGAGTATCACAATATTGCTTTTGAACATTTCCATGGGCGCATTTTAATCCCGTCCGTACTAGTTACAACCCTACTGAAAAAAGGTTAGTCACTGAGTCACAAATCTTTGAAATTAAAACTTTCACTTGGTCAATGGACTGCAATGCATGACAGACATGAGTGCATATCATCGAATAAACAGTCCGTTCGGTTGAACATTTAGCAACGAAAATGTACCGGTCTATAGTAAAATCGGGAGGATATTTTCGGATAAATGAATCAGAGTGTGCTTCGGTGAGATTCGATGAGAGGATTTGCATTTTTCAGATACAGTGAACCAGTGTTACTTGATAAATGGAAGAGCTATTAGCTTGTGTTGGCCGACCACACAACCATCAGGGTGTCTGGTTCTTATTGATGCAAACCCTGCCTCGCTATTGCCTAATTGTGCATATATATACTTGGCTCGCAAATAAAACGAGTCGACATGCTTTTAGTTGAACGTTAAGAATAACTACGTTTTGTTCGCATAGAGTGTTGTTTTGCAAACGAAGGACTGGCGATACCAACTTTCATGTCTCTGCACACGCACACATTCGTAAAAGTCACTCAAACTGGCCAAAAATTATGAAAAAAGTAAGCTTCTCGCAAGCAGTGTTTGAAATGAATGCTTCCGATCTTTTCGGATCTTCCTTCTTGCTCGTATTTCCCACGTTAGTGTATCTTAACCTTAGTTTGCCTTATTATGCTAATACTGTGAGAGGTATGAAGAACATGAGTAGAATGTTTTCGTTCCAATCGATTTCTGTGTAGACCATCATCCGGCGTCCTGCCTGGCTACCCTGATTACGCACGACATATGTGAGTGTATTTTCACTTTCCACCCACCACCACCGCCCACCAATGTCGGCTTGTGGAATGGAAAGTGGCTCCCACACTTTGAAGTGACCTTCATTACCCACCCCTCGAAAACTGAGAACGATTTCCCTCCTACATCTGTGAATTGACCTTCATTTCCCACCCCTCGAAAACTGAGAACGATTTCCCCAAAATTTATTAGCCATCTCCTTCTCTCTGAGGAACATGGGTTGCTTTAGCGGTCCATAGATCTTGCCAGCCTGTGTGACGATGGACGAATCCAACGGAACAGTAATCAGAGCTTGAGTGCTTTCTCCACATTCCATCATAACGATCTCGAGAACGAATTTAATCAAAGTACAAGTGTCCTGTATACAGAATCGTTGTGAAATAAATCCTAGCTACTGGGTGGGAAACTTACACTTCTCAAAGAAAACACTAGAGTTAACAACCTGAACCTGGGGTGTTTGTAACGGTATGTAACAACGCCAGAATTTCTGTCTGAATAGGAAGTAATACTGCGAACCACATAGAGGTGGTTTGTTAATATTATAACATAAATCTCCAAGGCCCACCCACTTCCACACTCCAAGCCTTTACTCAAGAAAGACTATCTGAAGTAAGTCAAGATACCTCAAACTGATCGTTGTTGAAACTTGGATTAGGGTTCAAGTGTTTTTTCTGGACATGACTTAAGAGGCTTTCAGGTATGTTGCAAAACCGTCCCCAGTGGTAAATATGCTATTGCTTCCAGGAGATATTGCTTTGTAAAAAATTGCTCTCTCGTTCTGCATTGGGCGAGTTATGTGAAGATGTTTCTTCAATTCTGGGGACATTGTACTCGGTCAAACTGTCCGAGTAGATCAATTCCTTTTTGACGCATGTTTGTACTAGGCTGTCATCCTCCCTATTTACTACACTGAGCTTCCTCTTCACTGTTCACGTTCCTTTTACGTTCATAATAGGATCGGGCTAGTTGTCTTTTTTCTATTAAAGTTCTATTATATAGATCTGAACATCGAGTATTAAGAAGCATCTGAAGTAAATTCTCACAAATACAATTCTTTTGAGGGCATTCTGTGAATATTCCTCAGGGTGGAGGGCAACTCGTGGTTTTTATGCTCGCACCATGAAAATTCTGCAGCAGCCACAAAATATCTTCAACTGCCTCTTGTCTACCTCGTTTGGATGGTCACCAAAATCTCTGATGTCCATGAATATCAAGAATTAGGAGCTTCCAGCAAGAGAAACGAAAAAGTAAAATGTGGGGATAAGTAAGCCGTAGGAGTAATAGTCAACCCGGCAACGACTCAACTTGTTTAACTGTAAGGGTTGACATCTGATCTTCAACTGGGTTGTACTCTTTTATCCCGTGTTAAAAATTGCCTAAAGAACTCATCATCATGTGTCAACAGTTGACAGTTTGATACAAAGAGTCGTACATGTTCACATGAGTCGTGGTTAGTTTCGCATTCCACCCCAGAAAAATTGCTACAACCACTGAAATTGAGAGAAGAAATTTTCTGCTTATAAGTCTAAGTAAGCGTTTGTAAACCATATTTATCTAGCCTTTGAGGGTCACATGATTGTGGCTGGCGTTGTGGTCGTGTGCTGTTCGTTGGCAGGTCCCTGTAAACCTTTTCCCGAGTGGACATTTTTTTCGGATTCTATCCGAATAGACGTGGTTGACAGCATTTTCGTTTTTGACAAGCACTGGTATGATGCAAGGTATGCTGCATCACATGAGATAGACAGTATGGATTGGATTGATGACAGTGTCATCCAGGACTGGTAGAGGAACATAAATGTCAGCTTTGTAACAAAGAATTTATAAGTGAATTGGAAGCGGACAGTGACTAGTGACGCCCTAAGAACCTTTCGAACTGCCGAAATGTCTTGGGGAGTTCGCTTGTATATCCGGATTCTGAAGAAGCATGCTGCCTAAACAGAGAGGAAGATCCTGTCTAGCAAATATGTACACACGTGTCTGGTGCAAAACTCATAATAATATAAGTTCCCAGCTGATCACCTTTTGTGTTGAGCCATCCTAGCTACTGCTGCATCATCGAGGACATATACTTAAAATAGTTGATTCGTTTTTCTTTTTGAAATCTGCTTTGAAGGCAAGATCTGAGAATGGGACTTTAAACTTGAAGGCAATTCTCTTGTTTTGTCCATATACAAGTATAAACCAGTGCACAAGTTATACATTCTAAGTGTACCGTCTGAGTCTCAAAT